CTGGGTTCAATGGGTTCTCGGTCATCTGACGGATATTGCCTTGGTCGGGTTTTTAAAGCGGTGTGCTCAGGCACTTTCCCCTGGCGGTCGTATTGTGGTGAAAGAGAATGTGACCATGGGTGAATCCGACGACGCCATATTTGACGATGTGGACAGTAGCTTCACACGATCACGGATGGCTTTTTTGAATGCGTTCCGTGATGCGGAACTCGAGGTAACTGGTGAAGAGCTGCAGACGAATTTTCCTGCCTCCATTTACCCAGTCCGTATGTTCGCCTTGAGATTGACTGAAACGGAACCCCCTCCACCCGAACCGCTTTCGTCCGAGGGATAGTGCCGAATCAGTTCTGGTCGTTATGGTCCTCCGTGACATCCACCACGATGCGCACATGTTTAACCATTTTATGTACATTTTGTCGCACAGATGAATTACACTCGTGTGCTGCTGTCCCATCGTTTTTCCTATGACCCACTTTCTTTCGTCAGCCTCACTCAAGTGATCACCATTGTTTGATGAATCGCCATGACAAAATTGCTACTGCTATTCCAGCTTGAAGATCCTCGTGAACATCTGTTTCCTTTGTTCGCAACACGCCGTCACTCACATGCGGCCTTCATCTTATTAATTTTGTAAACCAGATGGCCTATTCTTTTTTACCAATATTGGTGTCGATACTACTATGATCGTTATGTTATTATTATTATTATTATTATTACTCTGACTATTGCCATTCCGATGGTGACTATTTTTCTTAACGCGCCAAACTGACCCTTACCGTTTAATCCTTGTTTGAGAACGATCCTTTCGCGCGCATGTTTGTGTGCTTTAACTTCCGCGAAACTGCTTATACTTGATGTTTCCTTTGCGAGCGTGAACAAAAAGTTTGTGCCTCTAGCAGTTTCTGTTTGTTTTTTCCTTGGAGTACGGTCGTACAGCGATGATGTTGGGGATATCTTTTCGGGTGTATAGTTCACAAAACCCCTCTTTTCTTTTGTTAGTAACTGCACATTACCAACCTCAATTCATGTCACATTTGAGTGTGTGGTCGTATTTACTTCAGAAAACATTACAGATATGGGTGGTGAGAGATTAAATCGATCAAGGATGCCAACGAGGCGATATCATTGGACATACTTAGACACACTGTAATTACACTGTGCTGCTTCTTGTGAGATGTTTTGTCGCTATCCTTGATCGCCTAGAATTTCCATTCGACGCGGCCGAGTCCGCGAAGTTATCAAAATGGAAAAAACCGTCGAGTGAGTAGTATCCTGAAGTTTTATGTGTGGGATATCGGGTTCTGTCATCAGTTACCTCTATGCATTCGGATAACTGATAAGAACCAGCAGGTCAATTCAATCGTGCTTTGCTCCCGGGTTTATTATCCATGGTTCCGCTGCACTGTATATGACGGAATTCTTAATAAAAGCTACACCTGACCACGTTCAATGTCTTAACTCCAGAGACCTGTGCCTGTAAGAGTACGCCGATAACATCGTCTATCTGTTCGAATGTATGGTGGACGCGCAAAGCTCATTTGAAAGACGAACAAGTGTTGTAACGTCATTCGGTTTGTGCTTTACACCCTTCAAGTGATGCCGTAGGACTGGGTGTCGCTTACTCCAACTTTGAAACTAAATGGACAAATTAGTTATAGTGGATTGCTTTTCCTACTAAGGTGGTTGTGTGACCAATGACGGTATCACAGCAAACGAGAAAACCGCCCGCATTTTCAAGACTCGAGCAGCGTACGCAGAACTAAAACTCCTGGGGCGACAACGTGACGTTTCATTGAAGTTCGTGTATATTGTGCTACTGTTCGTTCAGTTCTGATCTGTAGTCGTGATACCTTGAATTCACGCTTAGAAGATATCCATCGATCAGAAGCTTTTAATTATCGATGTTAGCCTAGTTTATCGCACGTTGGAGGGGCGAACGGGTTATTGACGTGGAGGTTAGCCGTGATGTTTGTGAGTTTATTAGGAGTAAACTGGCTAGCTCATCGAATTGAGATTAGTAGGCTTCGATGGCTATGACATGGATAATTTATGACCGGATTTCATCTACCGCATCGCGCTTTATTCGCTTTAGCCGCTCCGGGCTGGAGGAAACCCCACAGTGGTCAACAGATGACGTGGGCACGAGGCATGCAGAAATGCATGGAGCTATTCGTGAGCATAGGTGTCACGCACCCTCCAGGTTATGGTCCGATAGACTCTGCAACCAGTTGGTTGACGGCATATTGTTGTTAACCGACAACAGTGGTGTTCTTGTTGTCATTTCTTATCAGGTCAGAGTTCTTTAAAAGGCATGTATGCACAGTCAGCTCATGTACTCTCTTTGCCAACCATGGAGGTTTACTTTCTTCCCCTCCCTCAAAATAGGTCCAACTTGCAAATTACCAATAAAATTGAATGCATTTCGATTTTGGCAGTAATCTGTGAAGTTCGCCTCACTGTATTTCGTTGCACTATGTTGATAATGATTTTGATCACCCACTGATGGATGTTAGGGTTGGTGTTTGTTTGCCATTGTAGAAACGCCATTTGTTCCGTGGTAGTGTACCGATCGGCGTTATCCGTGATTTGTCTGTTGTACAAGAATGTATTGGGTTATTGCATAAGTTCGCGTCGTTTTTTAAACATTTATTTTCAAAGAAATTAAGGAATTTTAACAACCAAATAATGACTCAGTCAATTATATAATTACTGAATGCATAAAATTTTAACACCAAAAATAATAACACTTTAACCAATTATTTACTCTCCATTGTTCACTACTTCTTCTCATCTTTCCACCAGTTTGCTGATTCCATTTCGCCAGGAATCCTAAAATCCTTAGGTCGAGTCTTGAAGAAGTTGTTGAGCCAATTCACAAAATGATCATGATTTTCGAAGCCAAGACCCATCATTTCATTTGAAAGGCAGCGGAAGAGATAGTAATCCGTCGGGGCGAGGCCTGGGGAATAGGGAGGATATTGAAGGACCTTCCAACCGAGCTCTTGGAGTGCCATCTTGACAGTTTTTGCGGTGTGTGGTCCAGTATTGTCATGGAGGAGGATCAACCGGTCTTTTTTGTCGAATTGCCTCATCGACTCAACGCAGTTGGGCTTTATAGAGATTCTTCTCTACTGTCATGTTCTTTCCCAGCTTTTTCCAGTAGATTAGACCTTCCCAATCGAAATTGTCGTGCTTGAACTTAGCAAAACAATCCCGAGCAATTCTCTCAGCTACAGCGTCCTCCCCATACACGGCACAAATATCTCTGGTAGCTTCACTCGCTTTTTGTCCTCGATTGAAGGCGAAAAGTAGGTGCCGAAAGTGAGATATTTTGTTGACTTGACAATCCATTTGACGGTGCTAAAAATAGACAAAAAATAATAGAGGCACAAACGATTACTTTAATATTGTAGAACACTGTACGGGATTTTAATTGTATATAACACTTCGCCAACACATCAAAAAGTCTTTGTAGAACAAATAGTTTCATGTAACGGGGGAACGTATGGAACAACCCAATGCTTATGGTCAGAAACAGTTAATTTTGTTCCATTATTCAGTTGCAATGTGTTGCGCTCAATCAATTAGGGGGCACTGCCTGGATTAGGGATATTAACAGATTAACTTCGATTGATGTTTCCCACTCAAGGTTTGGAGATTTTCGATGCTCACGGACACTGATGAATATGATTCAGAATAAGAATCAATGGCACGAATGTCGTACCGTCTATCTATTTAGCTCTCATGCTCCGTCACTGTGCGATGGAAACGCAAGAAACATTGTTCTTCTCGGTACACTCTTCATTTATTTGTTTTATAATGATGGTGATCGTTTGTATTGGATTTGTATGTATCTTCCTTCAGACCCCATTGACAGTAGTAACTAAGCCTGTGGACAAAGAAAATATTGACCCCACTCCAGAAGATACATTGCCCCCCATAAAACAAATTACCGTTCCCAAATCAAAACTTTCCGAAACGAATCTGAGATCTTCGAGTCCATCAATATCGGACAACACTTCGTCCGCTGCCGCTACTGTGCGTCAACTTCGATCGCGCTATCGAACCCAAACATCGGAGAGCTTGGTAAATGCCATTCCCGC